TCTTCACACTTAACAAAAATTCCCTCTCGCCCCCAAAGCTCCTGTCATTCTCTACTCAGCCCAGGAATTTGGCTCCACCACGAGGCCCATGTGACGGGCGTGACGCCAGCGCGCGTGTGGGCGGGGCGCCATGAGGCCACGCCCCTTCCGTCGGCCGCGGCCACCGCCTCCCAGAGGTGGTGGGCGAGACTGTTCGAGGCGAGGAGAGGGAGGCTCGCGAGCAGGGGACTTCGGCTTCGCGCTCGCCTAGCTCGTCCCGGCCCGTGGCCACCCCTCCTGCAACTCCGCATGATGGTCCAACCCGTGGCGCGGGGGCGGGCCCAGTCTTGGAGAGCTGGCCTTTGAGTAGAAGGCGGGAAAATGGCGGATTCTTCGGGGCGCGGCGCCGGGTGAGTTGAGGCGCCGTGGGTCTGGATTTGTGGAGTCAGAGGGACCGGCCTGGCCTAGGGCCGGGCTAACGGGCAGCGGAGCTGGTGAGGGGGAACCTTGGAACGAGTCAAGATCCGACCCGTGGGAACCGTGCAGGTTCCATGAGGCCCCGGAGACTTGCGGCTGCTGCGCACGGTCGGGAACTCGGCACTGGGCAGGGCCACGAGTTCGAGTCCCGCGCCCTCCGCTTTGATGCGTGGTGACCTGGGGCAAGTGGCTTGACCTGTCTGTGCCTCACTTTCCTTCTCTGCGAAATGCAGCTGACGATGCCATTCAGCCTTGAAGGCTAAGCTTAGACGCCCCGTGGAACAGTGTGGTCCTTCATTGTGAGCTGTGCGGCCACTAAAGCATCTCCTTTCATCCTTCCAACCTCTTTATTCTGTGCTCCCCATTTATAGAGGATATAATAGACACTCAGGGAGGGTAGGTCGCTTGCCCAGGGTCCCCCAGCGGGAACAAGAAAGAGATCGCACACTTAATAGACGATGGGCAAATTCCTGAGGCGGTGCTCATCTCCTGTGTTCACTGCTAATGTTTATCGTCCTCTGCACAAACTGAAATGACGTGGGCCAGTGGGAGCAGTCATGGACGTTTCCGCCACCTCCCCTTGCCCTATTTAATTGGAAGATTGACCATAATCCAGAGCCTTGGATTAGATCCTGGAGGGACTCTGCACTGTCCCCTCTGATTCCTCCAGTGTTGCTGGTTTGGGTTCCTGGTTCTGGCCCATCCCCGACTCTCCTGCACCCGCTTAGCTGATTAGTCAGCGATTCCTGTCCCAAGGCCCCTTCTTTCCTATTGCATCAGGTTTTGTTCACTGTGGTTTTAAGTGGAGGTGGGATGCAGTAGCGTGAACCGCCCCACAGCGCATTCACAGTCTGTGAAGCCATCTCCTGGATTAGAGTTTCACTTTAAAAGGAAACCGGTCCCCATGAGCAGTCACTCTCCCTGCCCCGCCCCAAATACTGGAGCTTTACCAATTCTGGACATGTCATGTAAGGGGATCATATCCTACGTGGTCTTGGTATCTAGTTTTCTTTTTACTCAGTATAATATTTTCAAGGTTCATCCTTATGAAAAAGTACCATTTATTTTTAGGGCTAAATAATACTGTGGCTTTCTTACTCTTTAAAATTTTTTTTGTAGTTGTAGATGGACAGAATGCCTTTATGTTATTTGTTTATTTCTATGTGGTGCTGAGGATCGAACCCAGTGCCTCACGCATGCAAGGCAAACGCTCTGCCACTGAGCCACAACCCCAAGCCAGCTTCCTTACTTCTTTAAAGGAGTTTTGAAGCACTTTCTAAGATTTCCTTCTGTGTTCAGTCTGGTGTTTCCAATTGTCACTCCAGGGGCCCTCAACTTGGGCACTATGGATATGTGGTGCCAGGTCTCAGTTCTGACGGAGCTCATCCTGGGCATGTAGGGTGCTGAGCAGCATCCCTGGCTTCCTCCCACCATGCCCGTAGCACCCCATCTGTTGTGGTGGTCTATAATGTCGTCGGATCCTGTAGGATTAGTGTGTTTATAGGTAGAGGCACTAGGGTGCTTCCTGTCACACTCTCATGAAGGCGAGGCCTCGTGAGCACACACATGCAGCCACTCGGGCACCAAGAGGCCAGTGGAGGAAACCAGCCTCACCAGCACCCAGATCTCAACCTTCTGAGAAAAAAAGTCTGTTGTGTAAGCCACCAGTTTGTGGTGTTTTACACCCTAGGCCAACTAATAACACTGGCCTTGGAGCACAGTGAGGGGGCGGCAGCAGAGGGGCCCCTGTCCTTTGTAGAACTTCAGAGACCATTTTCCTGCTACTTGCCAGTGGTCTTCATGCAACATCCCCGCGACATTGTCCAGCTCCTGCTTCAAACTCTCTCCCAATCCCAATTCCCTGTTGCCCACAAGCAGGGCTCCACCTTCTGCAGGCTCGGGTGGGAGCCAGAGCGCCCCTTCTTGGTATAGCTGATGAGCTAAGAATCATTTCTGCATTTTTAAACAGTTGTTTATAATCAAAAGAAGATTTTGGGACACATGAAGATTACATAAAATGCCTCCATCTGTAAATAAAGTTTTATTGGAAACAGCCCGCCCATTCCATTCTGCCATCCATGACTGTTCAGCCACGAGGCCTACAGAGAGGCGCGGGTTTACTGTGCGGCCCTGGAGAGAAAGCTTGCCCTCTCTGACTTAGAGGAACAGGTCCAAGACCCCGAGCCCCACACTGAGAACTCTTCCAGCCTGGCCCTACTCTGACCTCCCCGACTTCATACCCTGTCCACCTTCTTCCTTTCCTGCTCCAGGCCCTACTGAATCCTCGTCTCAGATTGTCCTCTGCCATAAATGAACCCTCTTTGCTTTTCATACCCTTCTACCCGCTCTGGACCTGCCTCATAAGGAAGGTACAGATTGTCCCTCTGCGGGAAGGAACTCTGCATTTTGTTCAGCACAGTATCTTCAGGAGCATACAGTAGGCACATAAACATCTGAGGAATGAGTAAACCCGTGGCTAATTTGAGATCTTCACACTTAACAAAAATTCCCTCTCGCCCCCAAAGCTCCTGTCATTCTCTACTCAGCCCAGGAATTTGGCTCCACCACGAGGCCCATGTGACCGTGACTGCCTCGCTTCCTGTTGAGGTGGCCCAGCCTCACTAAGATTGTCCTTGGGCAGCCCAGGGACTGGGCTGTCCCCAGGAAACCCTGGCTGCCAGCTGGTGCAAGCTCCTTGCCGGCTCCTCTGTGCTTCTTGTGCCACGAGACAAACAAGACCTTTCCCCTGTCTTACAGGAAGGCTTCCGCCGCCGCTCCCAACCCCACTAGCGGTGCCAAGCCAAGAGGAAAAAGAGCACAGGGTGAGCACCATGAGCGTCTGTTCATCTAAAAAGTGGTTTGTTGTTTCATTAAGTGTTTTGGGTGGGGGAGGAAAAAACAGGCTGGAGAAAGGGGGCGGTGGCTTCACTTCCTCACAGTCACACTCAGGGGATTCTGAGTCTAGTTATCTCTGCACTGCAGCTGGGACGGACGTGTGGGAGGTCACTGCAGTGGTCACTTTGGGCATCGGGGTGCTTCAGCCATGAGCATCCCCGGGGGGTTGTCCAGGATACATCCCTTGATTACACGGGTGTGGACAGCCCGGGTTGCCCTCGCCTAGAGCCAGTCTGCAGTCGCACTGTGAAGACATGCCCGTGTGTCCAGTGCCCACCTGTGTGTCTGGCCTCACTGTTTCCAGCGCCCACCCTGTTGACCCCCCCGGCAGTGCCCAGTGTGGACAGTAGACCTGGGGTCTCCTGAGTTGGAGGTAAGCACCTCCTCAGTGTGTGCCACGTGGCAGCAGCTCTTCAGAGAGCTTCGGCTGAATTTTAGTTCCAACTGCGGGCAGGGTCGTGTGAGAGCTTGGTGGTTTTTCTCCGTGATGCTCTTGGGGATGGAGCCCAGGGCCTGCCTATGCTAGGCAAGCGCTCCGCCACGGCCTCTCCACAGACCCGCCTGTCGACGTAAGGTTGCTCCCATCAGGCCTCCACTGTCCACAACAAGCGGTTTGTTTCAGTTTTCTGGAAACAGGAAACTTGTGTCCCCACTGTCTGTGACAGCCAGAGCCTTAGATCCTTCCAGTTGAACAGAACTGCTGAAGGTATTACGAAGACTCCACGCAGGATGGCCCTGCTTCCTGGGAACTGGCAGTGTCCTTTGGCCCTGCCTCTTGCTCTGTCCACTGACAGCCCCTCAGTGTGCCTTGGTTCTGTCCCTGTATCCCACCTGGATCTAGCCTGGATGGTTAGTTAGGTGCCTGCACCATGAGAATGGCTTTGGATTGCCCCTGGCACCCACCTGTCCCAGTCCTCTGAGCTCTGCTCAGAGACACCGCTTGTCCCCCCTCAGGGGCGCCCTGGTGACTACCCAGCTCCTGGACAGACTCTGGGCTCCCCGTTAACCGTGGGCATGCCTCCTTTCCTCTGGAGATTGCAGCTACCACCCCAGGCCCTGTGGCAGAATCCAGTGTCGCATGAAGATGTGGCTGAAGTCACAGTCTCGCCCAGTCAGACTGTCAGGCTTCGTGATGTTGGCGCTGTCACCCCCCAGGGTCTCTTCAGTACCAAGGGAAATCACTGCTCTCTGAAGGCACCTCTGAAAAGTGCAGCTTCATTCATTCGATGTATTTCTGAGCACCGGCTCCACCCCTGGCGTGGAGTGTGGCAGTCAAACATCCCTACCCCAGGGAGACCGAGGGGAGAGAGGGCGGGAGGGAGCATCAGCAGCCTAATGAGATGCAGAGACCGTGGTGGGTGCTGTGGGCAGAAGAGCAAAGTGGCCCGGGCGGTCTAAGCTGAGCAGACGGGGTGGCAGGAACAGACCTAGAGAGAAAGCCGCAGGGCCGTCCCCAGGGGTTCTGCTATGTCTGCAGAAGACCTGGGCTCTGAGTGTCTCAGGGAGGTCCTGAGCTTGGTGTATGAGGAAGTGAGCCGGGTACTGTGAGGGGTGGTAGCACCCAGAGAAGGAAAGGGACTCTTAGGGACACATCCACAGGACTGAGCCATGGGACGCGGAGGAGGCCTTCAGTGAAAATTCATTCTTCCTTCCCCTCCCCCACTTGAGTGCACTTGCTGCTTTAGCTTCTGGGCAGAGTCCTCTCCTTGAACTTCTTGGATCCTGGCTCCAGAACTCTGTGGCTCCACCTTAGCCCAAGGAGCTGCATACAGTATGTGTCCAATCAATGTTCTTGCATGTGGTTGGTGTCCCATTTATGCTTGAGGGCTTTGCAGGACATGATCTGAGAGGAGCAGAAGGAGTACTTCCTCTTCTTCCTGTTGTTGAGCTGCGAGGGCTGATCATGTGGGAGACTGGGTATGTGTTGGGTTTACACAGTCCTTTGTTGATTTCGTTATAAATCAGCAGTGTGTCCTCCACAGGTGGAAGAGTGGTCGAGTCTCGATATTTGCAGTATGAGAAAAAAACAAGTAAAAAGGTAATAAAATATTCAATTCAACGTCTGAACCCATTCTGACTATAGTTCTGAGTCACTTGGAATTTGGAGTCAAGTCATGTGGGCCAATCTCAACCTGGTCCTTAAGGAAGCATTTTGGGGTCTTTGACTAGGTGCCTCTGAGATCTCCACCCCTCCATACACAATTATGAGTCTTTGTTGTGAGTGAACAGTTGCTGTAAGATTTCCTTTTGTAAAACCATGATCTTTATTGAAACAAAATTGTTCTTGCCTTGCTACCCAGTACATTAGTCACCCCTAGTTTCAAGACCACCAGTGCTTTGCAGGTAATACCAGCATTCATCTGTCCGTTCCTGCTTTCTGCCCCAGTACCTTCTCTGCATCACTACTCACGCATGTTAGGGCTGTATTAAGTAAAATAAGGGTTACTTGAACAAAAGTACTGTGATACTGCAGCAGTCAGTCTGAAAACTGAGATTGTTAGTAAGTGACAAGTAACTAACAGGTGGATAGTGTATACTATGTGGATACACTGGACAGATGATTCACATCCCAAGCAGCATGGTGTGGGATTTTATCATGCTACTTGGAACAGGACAAAATTTTAAAACTTAAGAATTATTTCTTGGGGTTGTGGCTTAATGGTAGAGTGCTTGTCTAGCTCATGCAAGGCACTGGGTTCAATCCTCAGCACCACATAAACATAAATAAATAAATAAAGGTATTGTGTCTGACTCCAACTAAAAAAATATTTTTTAAAAAGAGAATTATTTCTGAAATTTTCCATTCATTATTTTCACTGTGGATCACTTTTAGGATTCTGAAGCAGTCCTGGGCTTATAACTAAGCATTTAAAAAAATTTTTTTTTTAGTTGTAGATTTTATTTATTTATTTTATGTGGTACAGAAAATCAAACTAGTGCCTCACACATTCTAGGCAAGCGCTCTGTCACTGAGCTCCAACCCCAGCCCTAGCTAAGCATTTTTTTAAAAAAGACCTGCCGAGTTTTGGAGGAAAACCATGGGAGGAGCGACATGCTTCTCTTACCCATTATTTAGAGGGGAGTTTAGCAAACTACCATGTAGCCACTCAGTGAAGCCTTCACACCTGCACGGAAGATGCTTAACCACACATGAACGTGCTTGTGTGAGGTTACTGAATAGTCAGCACATCACCTAATTGCACACTCTGTTTCAGTGGAACCTACGAAGAAATGGTGAAAGGCAAGTTGGGTTGCTCCTCTGCTTTCTAAATCTCGGTTTGTGATGCACAAAATTCAGTTAAATAGTCATTTCTGCCACCTGCCCCATGCTCTGCACAGGGTGGAATGGTGGGTGGCAGGTTCCTAAGAATGTGACGTGAGATGTCGCTTGAGGAAAAAGGCAACTTTGTCACTCGGGGTTCCCCTCCTTGGAGTGATTTTCAACAAAGGCCACAGTCCACAGTCACAAGTCTACGTTGCCTTGAAAACTTTGTTACAGCGCCCCCGTGTGTCTGTGGGCGGTGTTGATCTAGAGCTTCCAGAGCATTCTTTTTTTTTCTTCTTCTTCCCATTTTTAAAATCAAAGTTTAATTAACAGAGTCACCTCCCCCTGCTCAGCATGAGGCTCTGCAGGTCCTGATAACGCAGTCTCAGAACCTTCTCCACCGTCCAGAGAAAGCAGCCCACTCCAACCTCGCCCTGTGGGAGCCTCCGCTCTCCTGTCCCCAGGCAGCCACTGACTTGCTTTCTGGTCTTGCGGTTAGCCATTTCCAGAAGGCCTTCCAGAAGGCCCGGTCAGTGGTGGGCGGCCTTAGGCCTCCGGCTTCTGACCCCCAGGTGCACCCGCCACCCTCCCTGTCGTGTGCGATGGTGGCAACTTCCTTCTTAGGGCTGCGTCAGTGCCGCTGTGTGGAGGGACCACCTTCGCTGGTCCAGAGGCGCTGGTTTTCCATTTTGGCGATCATGAGCAAACCCACTACTGGCCGCGTATCCCTTATCTGAACTATTTGAGACCATAAGTATTTCAGATTCTGGAGTTTTTCACATTTTAGAATATTTGGAGAGGCTTTATGGGTTGAACCCCCATGATCAGAAAATCTGAAACCTGAAACATTCTGAGCACCATGTTGGCACTCTTTTTGGATTTTTGATTTGGGGGTTAGGGACGTCTAGCCTGTATAAACCTCTGTCTGCGTTTGGGTGGACGTGTTTTCATTTTTCCCAGGAGCAAGGTGGCTGGCTCGTTGGAGGCGTGTGTGCTTAATTTTACAAAAGCTGCACCATTTTACATCCCACCAGGCACATAGGAGAGGTGTCGTGTTTTCTTTTAAGTCTTAGTCCTGCTGGGTGTGGAGGGTGTCTCACTGTAGCAGTTGATACTAGGCATATTTTCATGTGCTTATTGGTCATTCTCATATCTTTTTTAAATTTGCTTTTCTGTAGTGTAGGTGCAGCATGCCTGTATTGTTTTTTATTTATATGTGGTGCTGAGGTTCGAACCCGGTGCCTCACACGTGCTAGGCAAGCGCTCTGCTCTGGGTTTCAGCCCCAATCCTTATTCTTATATCTTTGCTGACTTGTCTCTTCAAACTTTTTGCCAGTTTTAAAGTTGGGCTGTTTTCTAAATGTTGCCGAGTCGCAAGGGTTCTTTCTGTAATCAGCCCTTCACGCAGGGTGAGACCATCCTCACAGTCCGCAACGGCCTGTCGCTCTCCTGAGTGCCTTTGAGGAGGGAGAGGCTGGACTGTGATGAAGGCCAGCCTCAGTTTCTGCTTTTATGGGTCATGCTTTATGTCTTACCTAAGAAGTCCCTGCCAACCCAAAGGTTGTGTCCTGAGTTTTCTTGCAGGTATTTATGGTCTTGGGTTTAACATTTAAGTCTGATACATTTTGATTTAGTTTTCCCCTATCCTGCCATGTGGGAATCAAAGTCCCATTGTTAGTGTGTGGGTGTCCAGTTCAAGCTGCAGCTGCTGAAATAACTTTCCTTTCCCCATTGTCTTATCACCTCTTTTTTTTTTTTTGGTACTAGAGATTGAACCCAGGGGTGCTCGACCACAGAGCACCATCCCCAGCCCTATTTTGTATTTTATTTAGAGACAGGGTCTCACTGAGTTGACTAGCGCCTCACTAAGTTGCGGAGGCTGGCTTTGAACTCCCGATCCTCCTGCCTCAGCCTCCTGTGTAAAGCGAGGCTCTTATCTCTCGAGTGATCAGGTGCCATTCGTGTCCGCGTCATTTCTGGACTCCATTTTCTCGACAGTCTGTGGTCTTTCCTTCCAGCAGTCCCCACTGCCGCAGCTGCTTAGTAGCTTTGTCCTTAACTAAAATCAGGTAGATTAAAAACTCCCGTTCTGTTCTTTGCAAAATGGTTTCATCTTTCTGCCTTTTTGTGGAACGTTTAAAATAAGTTTTTCATTTTCTCAGCAAAACTCTGGCTGGAATTCTGACTGTGGCGTCAGAATCAATGTTGGGAGAAGGCCATCCGAATGGCACGGAGTCTTCCGGACCGTGGACGCGGCGAACTTCTCCATTTACTTAGCTCTTCTTGGACTTTTTTTAATAGTGCTTTGTACTTTCCAGTGTTTAGATCTTACACATTTTTATTGGGTTTGTATGTAAACATTTGTTGGTGTTTAGTGCTGTTACCCATGGGGTTTTTGTTCTTGACAGTAGAATGCACTTTGGCACAGACATGAATGGATACATGGTACTTTTAACTTCAGATTCCAAACTTGTTCCTTGCTTAGAGAGAGGATCCATTTTTCACATTGACTCTGTGTTCTGCAACCTGCTGTGTTAAGAGTTCTCCAGAGAAACAGAATCAGGAGATATATTTTATGTTTATGTATGTGTGTATAATTCACATTATATTTGTATTTATTACATAGAGATTTATTACAGTAAATGAATAAATCTCTCATGTAATGATAAAGCCTGAGAAGTCCCTTGATCTGCTGCCGTCTGCGAGCACCAGACCCAGGAAATCTGGTGTTGTCACCTGGTGTGGGATGAAAGGCCTGAGGACTTAAGGGTGTGGGTGGTGTAATCCTAGTCCAGGGCCTGGAGGAGGTGAGAGGTCTCAGCTCAGTCAGACGGGCAGGAAGCAGAGGAGCCAATTCCCTTTCACCTTCTCCCCCTGCTCAGGCCCTCAGGATGGCTGGCGGTGGCCATTCATGTTGGGGGGCCACACCCAGGATACACTCGACCGTGACGTTTCACCTGGCACCTTGTGGCCATTCAAGTGGACACACAAAATGAGCCATCACACCTGGTACATTTCTTTCTTAGTTTTGATCATGATTTTGAGGAAGTTTGGGGGTTTCTATGTGAAGAATCATGTCTTTAAGAAATAAGTCTTAGGATGGGCATGGTGGCACATGCCTGTCATCCCAGCAGCTCGGGAGACCGAGGCAGGAGGATCGAGAGTTCAAAGCCAGCCTCAGCAACAGGGAGACTCTAAGCAACTCAGTGAGGCCCTGTTTCTAAATAAAATACAAAATGCGGCTGGGGTGGGGCTCAGTGGTTGAGTGTCCCTGAGTTCAAGCCCCGATACCTCCCAAGAAAAGGAGTCTGATTTTTCTTTTCCAGCCTGTTTATATGTAATTTCTCTTGGGGTGGGGGGCTGTTTGTTTTGGGTTTCTTTCGTTGTTGCTTTTGTTGTCTGTTCTGGGCGGCACTTCGATGCTTTACACTGAGCAGCTTCCCTGCCCTTTATTTTCCATTTGGAGACGGGCCGCCCCGTCGCCCAGCCTGGCCGTGACTTCCAAGTGGCTGTGGTTATGGGCACGCGCTGCCTCACCTGGTTTCTCTAGCCCTGTAGAAGGTTTGTGTGTTGTGTTTTTTGTTTGTTTGTTTGTTTGTGGTTTTGTTTTGCTTTTTGTCATTAGGATTATAAGAGCAGCACTGGGTAAATTGCATGCTTAATTTTGGTAATTCTGAAGATTAATACCTGCATAAAAACTTTTTTTTTAAAGACCAAGTAATATGTTCTCACCAGAAAACAAGCAAATACTGAAAAGTATACAGAAAAAATCCATCCCCTGCACCTGCCATACCAAAGATATAATGTGCAAACCATGTGCTGTGCCTGTGAGTGTCCCCATTTTGACAAAATTTGTACATCCTGTATATAAAGATAAGATTTCAAAACTCCTAAGTCTCTCTTTCACCTCAAAAAAGAGCAGGTACCAGTTCAGGTGTTTCCAGGGCTCCCTCTCAGGAGGGAAAGGGTCTTGTCCTTTTGTTTTGTTTGTTTCTTTTGTGTTTTGTGGTGCTGGGGGTCAAACCCCGTGCTTACCTCTGAGCCACACCTCCAGCCCTGTCTCCTCCTCTGAATGTCACATGTTCTTGGAACAGGCTCCTGCAGCAGATGCATTGAAAGCCAGCGGGAAGGTGCCTGAAGGTGGAAGGAAGGCCACCCTGCTCCAGAAGAGCAAAGGTGGGACACACCCTGGGCCTCGGGGTTGGGGGCACGATCGGGGACTTTGTTTTGAAGTGTGCAGTGTGGAGGCTCCCGTTCTTTCTGGGAAGCACTGAAGAAGGAGCCAGGCAGCGTTTGATCAAGGACAGGTTAGGGGCACACGGGGAGGTGAGGAGGGGAGGCAGGGAGGCCACTTCCTTCCTGTGTGGCCCCAAAGAAGAGCTGTTCTGCCATCGAGGCTCTTCCTGCAGCGATGGCTCCTGAGTACACATCTGTGTCCCCACCGGCACTCTCAGGGGCATACAGGATGGGGAGCCTCATCCTCCTGCCGCCTCACTGCCCTGGGTCGGCCTTCCTCATCTCCTGCGCTGGGAGCAGTGAGGGACTCTCCTGTCATCTCCTAGAAGCTGCCACCAACAAAAGGAGCAGTTTCTAGTTTTTCTGATTGTGGATGTGACGTGTATTCATTATAAAAATTGCAGAGCAGGGATCAGGCTGGATGGTGCTAGTCCATTTTTTGTTGATGTAACAGGATTCCTGAGCCTGGGTAATTTATCATTTTTTAAAAACGAGGTCGATTTGACTGACAGTTCCAGAAATCCAAGAGCATGGCCTGGCTTCAGGTGAGGGCCCCGTGCTGCTCCACACATGGTGGGAGGTGGAGGAGAGGGAGAGGACACAGTGGTGACCTGCTTTATGTCAGCCCTTCTCATGAGGACGAGTCCAGAAATCAGTCCTCCTAAAGCCCCACCGCCTCAGTGCTGTCCCCTGGGGTCCGGCCTCAGCATGAGCCCACACCACTGGGCTCTCCTCTCCTCGATGTCGCATCCAGTTTCTCAGCTGCGTGGCTCATTGAATGGCCTCCTGCTCAGTTCCAAGCTGACGGTGTGTTGCTCAGACCATCTGTTGGCGCTCGCAGTGTCCCGAGCCCTGAGTGACTGCAGCATGCTGGACAGCACCGCTGCTCTCAGCCGGGGAAGCCCAGTTTGGCCATTTTAAATCCAGGCTAAAAAAGACAAAGGGACTCCCGGGAAAATGAACGGTCCAGAAGCTGCAGAGGAAGGATGGCGAGGGCAGGAGGCGGCCCGATGATGACACTGTCACATCTTGAGCATCTTGCACACCGAGTGGAAGGGCTTCTTTGCATCTTTTTGTAATAAAGAACGTCTCTTCTAGATTACAGGTTGAGCAGTCCCTAGTCTGAGATCTGCCGTACTCCAAAATCCGTCACTTTTTGTGTACCAGTGTGACACCACAATGGGAAAATTCTGCACTGTGAAACTCTTTCATGCCCAAGACTATTTTTTAAAATATTGTGTGAAGTTACCTTTGGCCTGTGTGTCTAAGGTGCATAGGAAACATCAACCAGTTTTGCATTTAGACTTGGGTCCCAGGCCCAAGATACCTCATTTTGTATATGCAAATGTTCCAAAATCCCAAATCCTAAATACTTCCGGTCCCAGCCATTTCAGATAAGGGATCTCAGCCTGTGTTTAAAGCACATATTCAGGTGGGCTGGGAATTTCCACTGTACATCAGCCTTTCCTACACTAGGCAGAAGCTGGGTATTTGGAAGCGAGTGGTATCGTACAACAGGTTGCCAACGTTCCCTGACATAAACGTTGAGTGTCTCGCTGCCCCTGGTGCTGACTTGGGGGTTCCTGTTTGGACCGCAGATGGCAGCGGAACCGTGAAGGGAGACCTGCAGTCCACGCTGCTGGAAGGGCATGGCACGGCCCCGCCTGACCTGGATCTCTCCGCCATTAATGGTAAATGGTTCATTTCACCTCCTCTGTCCCTGCTGGGTTGTTGTGGGTCTTAGTGGGGCTTCCAAAGTAGAGATGGCCCCCGCATTGTGGTTCGGTTTAGGATTTCTCAAGTTCATGATGGTGCCAGTACACATTGAATCTGGATCTTCTCTTGGGGTACGTGATGTGCAGTTCAGACTTCTCCTGTGATGCTGGGCAGCAGGACACAGCTTCCAGTCAGTGCCAGGACCACAGGGGACGCCTCTGCCGCAGTGTGCCGTGTGGCTCAGCTGGGCTGCGGGAGGCGGATTCAGTGCATTTCCAGCTTACAGAGGGTGGTGGGATGAGCTGTGCTGCTCAGCTTCCAGGACCCCTCTTTGTCTCAGACAGGAGCATGATCAGGAGGACTCCACAGCTGGAAAAGACCGTGGCAAAGAAAACCGAGTCGACATCATTTATTGCCCCGCGGAAAAAGAACCCGGTTAGTGTCCAAGGTGAAAGAGCAGCTGCCAGCAGGTCGCGCCCTCTGACTTAGTGCCGGCCCTGCCGCAGCTGCTGCCCGAGGCCCAGGGCTGCAAGAGCAAAACAAGACCACAGACGTTCTTAGGTCCATCGCAGAGGTTGCATTTATGGGTATTTGGAAGCAAGAGTGAGCTCCAGGGGTGCAGCTCAGGGGTAGAGCACCCGCCCAACATGCAGGACCCTGGGTTCCATCCCCAGCTCTGTCCCCCACACAAAAATATTGGCTCCTTCTCTGCGCTAGGGTAGAGGCCAGGTGCTGTTCCCTGGTGGGAGGACGGCTGGGCCATGGTCTCTGTAGGGCTGGATGGGAGTTTGGGCAGAAGTTCTGGTTTAGTGCCTGGTCCGTGGCCCTCCCCTTACTGCCTGGCTATTCCCTCTCCATCTCCTGGCTTCGGGAGGCCGCCAGCCCTCTCTCTTCCTTCTCTAGAACACAGCTCCCAGAGACTAAATAAATGGTGCACACCTGTAAGCCCAGCCCCCGCAGAGGCTGAAGCAGGAAGGTCACAGATTCAAACCGGCCTCAGCAACTTAGTAAGACCCTGCCTCAAAATTAAAAAAAAAAAAGTCTGGGGACGTGGCTCAGTGGCAGATTACTTGTTGAGCACATGAGGGCCCTGGGTTCCGTCCCCAACCCCACAAAAGAAAACTATTTTTTTTAATGGAGAAAGTGCCTGTAGGGGGGCTGGGGTTGTGGCTCAACAGTAGAGCGCTCACCTACCCCGGGCAGAGCCCTGGGCTCCATCCTCAGCACCACATGAAAATAGAAGAAAGGTATTGTGACCACCTACAACTAAAACAAAATACTTTATAAAATAAAAAAAGAGCTTGTAGGTTTGGGTTCTGCTCGAGGGAAGCGAGCTGGCTTTAATTTCTTGGGATTCAAAAGGGTCTTGGTCTTTTTCTCAAGGAGCCAACAGAAGTGATGGAGATGATGGAATCCCAGACGTTACTGCTGAGCCTGCTGACGCTGAAGGTGACAATCTGTTCCCACGTGACGTGTGCACGGGGCCCTCCATAAACTGCAGCAGGGTCCCCGGCCTGAGCTCCTGTTTCCACTGAACAGATGGAGAACGGTCTTGCTGAGTTTGAGGAGGAGGCGGAGAGGAACTTGGTGCTCGTGTGCAGAGAGGCGGCGGCCCTGCAGGAGCAGGCCCACGGGCTGCGGCGCAGGCTCTTCCTCTGCCAGAGGACCCGGGAGCTGGCCGAGACCCTCGACGCCCAGGTCAGGTGTGAGTGACGTGGTGACCACAGCTCCGAGCAGAGGATTCCCCGTGGGGTCATCTCACTGGGAACACTGGAGTGTGAGGGAGCACTCACTGGACATGTCCCTGCTTGCTCCCTCTGGCAGGACTGGCCTCTGATGGCAGGGTACAGGACTGGACCAGAGGACCAGGTTATAACATGGAGCAAGGGCCAGTGAGGGACCCGTCCCTTCCCCACCAGTGCACAGTCCTTGGGCGCCGGCCAGTCTTGTGTGACTAGAGGAGCACATGCTCTGGCCCACCCTGCAGGGTCAGGGTGCTGGCAGGAGACACTCTCTCTCCATGCTGTGTGGTCAGCACTGGGACAAAGGTGTCCGTGCCAGGGAAGGACACAGCCAACCCTGGGAACCCAGAGCCAGACCCGGGACGGGAGGCCTCACCCAGCATGAGTCTCCTGTGGTGGCCTGACAGCTGAGCGCTGTTCTTTTCTGGTCTGGAGACCAAAGGCCGGGAGCCGGGTGCTGGCAGGGCAGCTCTGCCCAGGGCCGTGAGGGAGGGTCTGTGCCAGCCTGTTTCTCTGGCTGAGCTGTCTTTTCATGTGTCTTCCCTGCGTCCAAATTTCCCCTTTTGGGGGACCCAGTCATGTTGGATGGGGGCCCACCTGCTGACCTTCTTGGGGAGCATCACTTTTTTAAAGACCCTCTCTCCCAATGAGGTCATGTCTCGAGATCCTGGGAGTTAGGACTTCAGATACGAATTGGGAGGACATAGTTCAGCTCGTAACACCAGCGTGTGCCTGTGAGCACCCTGCAGCCAGGTCCTGGGGCTGAGCACACACAGGTTCCTGTCCTTATGAAGCCTTAGTGCAAGGAAAAGATGATTCAGTGCACAGACACACCGTCTCGCAGCCCAGAGAGGACCTGGCCTGTGTGCGCGGGGAAGCGGGCTGAGCGCCAGGGCTGGGCGGTCCGGGTGTTTTGGGCTGAGTGGTCTGCGATCCTAGTCGAGCCTTTGGTCTGGGCACAGAGAATGGTGGACGTGGTTTTGTGTGAAGAGCCCAGGCCTCCTTGGATCTGCTGGTGCCCCCTGGCCACAGAGAGTGAGGGGGAGCCTGCTGCACCCTCAGAGGCTTCCTGGGCATCGGGACCCCTAGGGGTTGGTGGAAGGACGGGGCTGCGTCTCAGGCTTGCACTGTGGCGCCCGAGGACAGGAGGGGTGGCTCGGTGGTGGAGCACGCGCTTAGCTGGCCCGATGCCCTGGGCTCCATCCCAGCAAAAAAAAAAGGAAAACCACTCCCCACTGATGTCCCAGGGCCTCCTCACAGCCCTCTCCCTCCTCCTGCAGATGGAGCTGCTCAGCCCCTTCGAGGCGGTGTGTGAGCGCTTTAAGGAGCAGTACAGGACGTTCGCCACAGCCCTGGACACCACAAGGCACGAGCTGCCTCTGAAGTCCATCCATCTGGAGGGAGACGGGCACCAGCTCTTGGGTAGGAAATGGCGCCAAGTGGGGGGAGCAGCGGGGAGACCCACCCCAGCATGGCAGTGCTTCCCGTGTGCCCACAACCTTTGCCCCCTGGTGCCAGTGTGACGGGCACCCTCTCGCCATGGAATGACAGGGCCCTGGGGGCCAGCGAGGCTGTGCTTCCTCCAGGGCCTCGGCCTGCACAGGCCATGGGGCTGGGGTTGGAGCCCAGGGCTGTGGGATCCAGGGGGACCTCCATTCCTTCTGAAAGGTGTCCACAGGGCAGCTGCGTCCCCTGAGCCTTGGTCCCTAAAAATGTGCCTTGGCAGTAGGAGGGGAGATGGACAAAGTCACAGTTCCTGTCCTGCACGGGGCCTCCATCTATCTGAAGGCCTTGGCGAGCCTGGAAGCTGCAGGGCAGGGTGAGACCCGCCGTGGGTCAGGTGTCCCTCCAGGCGTATTGCAGGGGCCCAGGACATGCCCCTCCACCTCCCTAAAGCCAAGGAGGAGGGCTTCCCGGGACTGAGCGCACCTGCCTGGTGGCCAGCTCTCCCCAGCCTTTTCTGTGGTGTAGCTCTTGTTTGGTGCCAGGGATGGGACCCAGGGTGCGTGGTGGGCAAGCGAGTACCCCCGAGCTCCACCCCAGCCTTCATGGTTCTCACTGGGCTGCGCTGCCCAGGCTGGCCTCGGCCTGGAGCTCAAGCGTCCCCCCCAGCCTCTGGAGGTGCTGGAATACAGGTGCCCCTGGGACATATGGTTTTGTCATGCATCCTGAGACTTGTGACCCGCTCACTTGCTGCGTGCGTGCCTGTACGTACACGGGCTGCGTTCTCTCCCCATCTTGTGAGCGTTTCTTTTTTCTTCTTCCTTTGTTTATGGAGGGGCTTCCTGGGGATTGAGCCCAGAGGCGCCTTACCACTGAGCCGCTTCCCCGGCCTTTTTACTTTTTTATTCTGAGACAGGGTCTCACTAAGTTGCTGAGGCTGGCCTTAAGCTTGTGATCCTCCTGCCTCGGCCTCCTGCACCACTGGGCTTATAGGCGAGGGCCACCGTCCCAATTCTCATGAGCGTTCCTCTTTGTGGGAAGAACACATGGGTCACATGCCCATTCTACAGCCGCATGTGACTTAGCCCTCCCTTCCTGGTTGAGAATCAGTGCCTGGGGTTCTGTTTTATGGTTGGTCACCCCACACTGTCATTCTTGGCTCCATCTCTGACATGTGCCTTAAGTGGTCACCAGGCATTAGACCAGGGACAGCGGGTTTTCTGTAGCTGCTGGAACAAATGACCGCAGACCTGGGTGGCTTAACACAAGGGAAGTGTGTTCCCTCAGTCCTGGAGGCCAGAGTCTGAAATCCAGGTGTTGGCAGGACTGGTTCCTTCTAGAGACTTGGGGGGCATCTGTTCCAGGCCTCTCTCCTGGCTTCTGATGTTGGTGGCAACCCCCGGCGTCCCTTTCCTGTGGCCATGACACTGCAGGCTCTGCCTCCAGCTTCACGTGGCTTCTCCTGAGTGTCTCTAACTGAACCTCCCCCTCCTGGAGGTCCCTGGTCATTGTTTGGAGCCCGCCTGCTGACCTCATCTCTACTCAGTGACATCCACAAGGATCCAATGTCCAGTTAAGGTCACTTCATGGTCCCTGAGCTTAGGACTTGAGCATCCTGTTTGGAGGACATGGTTCGGTCCACAACAGGAAGCAGAAGAGGACGTGCAATTATAAGGCTCTTGGAAGCTTCCCAGAACGTGTCCTGCAGTGAACCTGGCCTGCCTGTGACGTGCCGTCTCAGCACAGGTGGCATGTGCTCCACGGCCACAGGCGTCCCTTGCTCATGCTTACAGAGGTGCTGAGGACAGGGAAGAGGGACAGAGGGCTAATAGTAAGTGGCCTGGGCCTGGCCAGAGGATGCCAGACACAGCCGTCTCACGGACAGCTTTGTCACGGGCTGCAGTGGTCTCTGTGGGGCACCACAGTGGTGTTGCAGTGACCGCCCACATGGTGGACATGCCTGTCCCACGACCTTGGCCACGCGACCCCAGCCTGGCTTAGTCCACGTGCTTCTGCTGTAACGGTGCTGGGGTCACTTATGATGAGCCAGTGTATACACTGGTTTGTGGGTCTGGATGCAGGGACGTCCAGTACCAAGGGGCGCATCCCGCGAGGGCTTTCTGGTCTCATGGTGGAAGAGCAGAGGGTGGGTGGGGGGACCCGGGATCAGACTGGCCGTACCCTGAAGCCCCTCTGCAGTGGGCGCTGTTATGAGGTCCCTGGGCCTCCTCACCTCGCAGCACCCCTGCCTCGGGGACCCAGTTTCCGACACCTGCCTTGTGGGTCGTCCAGGCCGGGGCGCAGCTGTCTTCTTCCCTCCCGCGGCCCCTCGGCGTGTCGCAGTGATGGCCCCAGCCTCACAGTGCACTGAGGAAAGCCACCCACACTCAATGCGCCCGTCCCTTGATCCCCCGCTGACAGCCCTGTCCCCTCCAGGTGCTCTGCAGCGTGACCTGGAGACCACCCACCGCCTCCTGGGGGAACTCGGCGTAGGCAGTGCTGAGGAGAACGAGCAGGTGCTGGCCCTGCTGCACGAGCTCAGGGACGCCACCTCGAGCAAAGACCTGGAGCTGCGGAGGTACCGCTGGGCCCCCGGGCAGGAGGGGAGCAGGGCTGGGGCCGGGCAGCCTCCCAGGCCTCTACAGGAGGGGAGCAGCCAGCAGGTGTCGCTGTCATCCCCTGTGGGCACCCGTCTGTCCAGAAGCCTGGAGTTCATTTTCTAGCTCAAGTCAGTTCTGAGAACGGGATGCCAGGTGCAAAGGGGTCACAGATGTCACAGATGGGGACTAGAGTGGCAGCACCAGGGACCAGCAAGACAGGGAGGGGGACCACAGAAGAATTGAGACCCACCTCTCAAGAGTCCCTATAAGTCCCAAGCAGCCAGATGGGAAGGGTGTCACATCCGTGTCCAGCATTCAGGTGACCTTGGACCAGCCCCGTGCACTTTGAGTTCTGGTCTTTGTTCTCTGCTGTGCTGGGGCAGGAGCGGGGCCTTGAGCACCTGGGCCAAGCGCTGCCCTGGGCTGCTCCCGGCTCTGGAGGGTGCTTTCCCAACTTCCTGCTGAGCTATAAACACCACAGAAAAGGCCCAGGCCCAGCGGAGCAGCCGGCCGCCTGTGCAGAGCACGTGGCCTTGGGGCGCCAGCCCCGCATCCCACAGGTTACAGCAGCCTCGCTAAGGACCTCTGGTCACCCTTCCAGCTAGGGGTTCTTCCAGAAAAGAATCTGTTCCCCTGGCGCAGTGGCCCGTACCTGTAATCTCAGGTACTGGGGAGGTTGAGGTGGGAGCGTGCAGGTTCAAGGCCAACCTGGCAACTGAGCAAGACCCTGTCTCAAAATAAAATAGAAGGGGCTGGGGCTGGGGCTCAGGGGCAGAGCGCTTGCCTAGCACGGCGAGTCCTGGGTTCCCTCCTCAGCACCGAAGAACAAGACAAAAAGAACCTTGTTTCCTCTTCCTTCACAATCGCACGTACAGTTCCTGAGATGCCTAGAATGTTTGAAGGGACTCATAAGAAACAGCTGTCACCTCTATGGCACTTCTCTCTCCCATGTGTGGCCCTAGGACAAAATCAGGGGGTACACCAAAGGTTTACGGAGGGTGAGGGTCCCAGGTGGAAGGTTAAATGTGCAGGTCTAGTCTCACCAGTGGCCTGAGGGCCGGGACTCCGTTCTGTTCATGGCTGTACCACCCGCTCCTAGGACTGCGCTGACACAGTGTTGATGCTTCCCAGGTGCCGGTGGCCCTCTGTCCTTGAGTCCCACATCTGCAGATTTAACCAACCACAGGTCGAAATATTCTTTAAACAACTGCATCCGCACAGAACATGCACAGACTTGAGTCACGGTTTCCTAAATCACACAGTAGAACAGCTGTTCAGGCACGTACGTTGTACCAGCTCTCCTGCGTCATCCAGAGACAGTCCCACGACTGTGGAGGGCGTGTGCAGGTTCTTAGCAAGTGCTGTCCCATGTCACAGGGTAAAGCGGGGCTTCTGGCAACCCGAGTTCCTGGCTCGGCTCCCCGTGGCGCTGAGGGCTGCGGGCTTTGCCGAGCTCTGGCTCTCCTCAGCCCTGCCTGGGCTGCGCTGGGTCCCACGTTGCCGCCCCTCGTTCCTCTCCGAGGTTCTAGTTTCTTTAGGTTGTGGCCACAGGGGGGAAACGTCTCCATTCATTCTCTTGTATTCACAGGATCTTCTCCCAGGTGCTGGAACTTTCTGCTGAGGCGAGTAAAGAGGCAGCATTGATAAACCAGGAGGTCTGGGAAGAGGCCCAAGGCCTGGGGACCGCCAGCCAGTGGTACTTCAATGCAGATGGCACCTTCGGGAACCCTCTGGGAGAGCCGAGAAGCACGGTCCTCTCCAGGGACAACAAGCCACATGCCCAGTGAATCCCATGCAGGCCTGTCCCCTAACCCAAGCCAAGCCCTTCCTTCCGGGAGTTGGGAGGAAGACCCACTTTGTGCCTCTCTCTCGGGGTGGGGTTCGCAGTGACTCGGGGCGTCCGACACTTGAGCACTTTACAGGCCCTGTCAGCGGCTCGGCTGTCTTGGTGTTTGTGATGTCCTTGTTTAATGTTCAGGAAGTAAGACATTTGCATCCGGGGTTCTTGTTTTCTGTGGAGTGGACAACTGGGGGGTCTTGTTCAGGTCCCACTGAGCCTGGGGACCTCCACAGGTGACAGGTTGGATATCTCCTCTGGAGGGTTGGGACCAGAGCTGTGTGGATTTCAGGTTTAGGATATTCACATGCGTGACGTCTGTCACGTGGCCTCCACAAGGACTTCATCGTTAGGTCGAGGTTGGTGGTTTTTCTCTTGATGCTGGTGGTGGAACCCGGGCCCTGTGCATGCCAGGTCCACCCTCAGCCCTGGGTCCCGGTTTCATACTAGTGGCCTGGGGAAGTGTCCCCCATCCACATAACGACCACGCCCATGACGTTCAGCTACAGGAGGCCCGGCCTCTTCAATGAAGCAGCCTTGACATTCCAATTTTCACCTAAACTTGTCCCCCAGTTCTCCAGTCTCAAGGTGTGTGGGCAGCTATAACAAAATACCGTAGACCAGGGGCTTGTAAACAAAACAGTGGAGGCTGCATGTCCAAGACCAAGTCAGACTCTGGTGAGGACCTGCCTCCTTCTTGCCATGTTCCCACGAGCGTTCCCTTGGGCCTCTTACAAGAGCACTGACCCGTTCACTGGGGCTCCCCCCTTAGGAGCTGCTCACCTCCCAGAGGCCCCACCTCTTTTTTTATTTATTTATATGTGGTGCTGAGAATCGAACTCAGTGCCTCACACGTGCCAAACAAGTGCCCTACCGCCCGGCCCCGGCCCCACCTGTTACTGACACTTTAGAACCAGGATTTCAGCATGGGAATGTGGGTAGGAGCCATTCAGGCCGTGGCACCCAGCCATCGACTCTACATTTCCAGTCAACTTTCTCCCCCTGGAGCTGGGGCTGTAACCAGGGTCTCCTAAGTGCCCTGTCCCTGAACTCCACCCTGGCCCCTGCCTCCCTCTCTGTCTTCTGGTCTAGCTAAAGCCCTGCTGCAGCAAGAGGCCTGACCCGGCTCCATCCCCTGACCCCCCAGGTCCTGAGTCTGCCATGGCAGGGTGAGCCACGGGACCTTGGCCCATCCGTCATTCTTTCTTTTGTCAAATCTACCTGACTTGCTCCCAGTGACTCCAGGAAAGTTTCACACTAAAATTTCTGCTTTATGATTTTTAAAATCTCTATAAACATGAATATCACATTTATCTGGGTCCTGTAATAATTAGGGACCCCTCAGGCAGTCCCTTTGGCACATCCAATCTTCTGTCGTGTTAAGATTTTTGTTTCAGCCCTATGAATGTCCATACCAAGAGTGTTAGGGTCATTTTGCCAGGAACTGTGACCAAAGACCAAATCGATTTTTATGATACCTAAGGAGGACGTCATCGTGGTCTGGTTTTGGTTGCTATAACAGGATACCTGAGGCAGTGAAGTTTATAAAGGAAAGAGGTTTATTTAGTTCACGGTTCTGGAGGGGGAAGCCCAGAACGAGGTGCTGACATCTGGTGAGGGCACGCCTGCGCTATCACAACTTGGTGCAGGGCATCCATGGCAAGGCAGCAAGCAGGCCACTTTTTTAACTTAAAAGAAAAAGCTACGCCCTTGATAACATTAACCCATAACAGATCGATCCACTCATGAGGTCAGAACCCTCACAACCCCACCACCTCCCAGAGTCTCTGCCTCTCCACACCCGCTATTCACGTTCCCAGCACAAACCTGGAGGCGCTGTCACCAGAGCAGGTGCTGTTG